TGCTGCTGCTTGTTTCTGTTCCTGCTGCAGCTGTTGTTGCTGCTGCTGCTGTTGCTGCTTGTTGTCGCTACTTAGATTCGCTGCTGCACTCGCCGCTGCTGCTGCTGCTGCTGCTGCTGCTGCTGCTGCTGCTGTGGTGCTAGTGATGTCCATTGGTCTCTCTGTCTTTGTTTTTTTATTTTTATTTTTTGTTTTTTTTTTGTCTTTATGCTGATGCAGCAACCGCAGCAGAAGGGTGCAGCCTGAAGCTCCTCAGTTTCTTTCTTTTTCTTTTTTTTTCTCTTTTTCTTTTTTTTTCTCTTTTTCTCTGTTGCTGTCTATCTTTTTGTTTCTTTTTTTTTGTTGTTTTGTTTTTTTTGTGTGTGTTTTTGTTTATCTCTGTCTCTGTCTCTCTCTGTATCTGTTTATTTGCTTTTATATTTTTCTGTCTCTCTCTCTATTTCTTTATTACTTTGCTGCACGCGAAGTAAACCCTAAACCCTAAACCCTAAACCCTAAACCCTAAACCCTAAGATCTTCTAAACACTAAACCCCAGCCCACAAACCCTAAACCCTAAACCCTAAACCCTAAACCCCAAACCCTAAAAGCCAAAGCCTAAGCAAAGGGAGCCTCAGAGACAACCTGAGACCAAGAGTTGTTGTTCCTCCTAAACCCTAAACCCTAAACCCTAAACCCTAAACCCTCACGCTTCTTCTTGCGGCAGGGCAAGCAAACGCACGCGCACTGCCTGAGCCAGTTCAGCTACCTGCAGCAGCAGCACAAGCATAAACCCTAAACCCTAAACCCTAAACCCTAAACCCTACTAAACCCTAAACCCTAATATAAACTGCCAAACCCTACGATAAACCCCTAAACCCTAGCCCCGCAAAAAAGCATGAACAGCAGCACAGCTCCCCCCCTAGAAGACTCTACTATTCAGGGTTGAGGGTTTAGGGTTTAGGGTTTAGGGTTTAGGGTTTAGGGTTTACATCTGTAGGAACAGGGTTTGGGGCGTTGCAGAATCTGAGGGTTTGGTCAATAAAAGACAAAACCGCGCTGCGTAGCCTTCTCCCTTCTGCTTCGCTGCCTCTGAACGCACTCTTCTCTGAACACAAACCCTAAACCCTAAACCCTAAACCCTAAACCCTAAACCCTCGAAACCCTAAACCCTTAAAACCCTAAACCCTAAACCCTAAACCCTAGTTCTGTATGAGAATATCTGAATGGCATTTGAAAACATATCGATGTTTTACACTTCACAGTATTGCACCCATATATGAGGGTTTAGGGTTTAGGGTTTAGGGTTTAGGGTTTAGGGTTTAGGGTTTGTACCTGTTGATATAACTTGGGTTATAAGCTGCAAAAGAGATAAACAAAAATAAGAAGAAAAGGGGGGGCCGCACAGCCGCAGCAACTCCGACAGAAAAAAACGACAAATGCTTCGATCCGTGTGTGCATACTGCAGCCACAAACCCTAAACCCTAAACCCTAAACCCTAAACCCTAAACCCTAGAAAAAAAAAATTTACCATATAAACCCAAACCCATTAAGATTCCTCTACAAACCCTTGCTGCTGCCTCGGATTTAGGGTTTAGGGTTTCAGGTTTTTGATAGTGGGTGCTGAGGGTTTA